TATAAAAATGAATACACCTAGCAGGGACACAAACATCAATAAAAACCCAACTGAGGTTCTTACCCTTCCCCACCCTATCTGAAACAAACAAACGTTGTGGCTATACACACGATAATACCTAGCTTCCATGTCCAGCTAAAAGTCAGCCAACCAGTTCTTCTGTGTTATTTATAAATAGTTAGATTAAGGTCACCCTGTAAAAGCATGACCTTGTCAGAAGAAGACCAGGAGAGAGGAAGATCCAGTCCCACCAAACTGCAGGCTGAATCTTTACCTTGTTCAGTGTCAGCTGAGGTATGGGTGGGAGATGTCAGGGAGGGGTATTTATGGTCAGGGTGGTGGTATCCTCAAGGCTTCCTCATTTACAAAACACAATGTTGCTGTGAAACTGGGTTTGGTCCTTTTGGAGAAGAGCTTGGGATGAGTCACAGGGCGGGGGAATATCAGGACAGAGGTGTAGAGCAAGTGTGGGGGTAGGTTTTGGAGAGAAAGCAAAGCACTTCCCAGAAACACAACATGAAAGCTTAGTGGTTTAATCCACAGCAGTTATCTCTGCTAAGCAAGCAAGTCTATTGTGTCCTGATAGAACTTTTGTTTCAATGAGAGTCCTGCTAGGACTAAAGTTTTGTGAACTTTTGAATGCCGTTAGGACTATGAATTATGAAATAGTCCTTCAAATATCAACTACATTAATGGGTAGCTAAACTCAAGAACAAAAATGTAATATATTGCTGCTTACCAGTGCTCAGATGCGGTTGGTGCATTTGTTTTTTTTTTAGAGGCTGAAAAATTTTCAGCAAGTACAGAACAAGCAAATTAATCTTATTTTCATTTTGTAAACTACAACTCATCATGTAACGAAGAAAGGAGGACATGTTTGTGCTCCAACCAGGATGAAACCCATCCCTCTACCGATACAGTACGGGGGGTGAATGTAGCCACCTAGGGACAGGAAGTGTGGTTATCACAGGAATACCAGATGAAAAATAAAGGGAAAAAATCCAAATAATTGAAAACGTATACAGCCATAAGGCGTGCAATATATTACATTTTTGTTTTTGGGTATACACATGACCTCCTCAGCCTTTTTTACTTGATGTTCATCTGGTGATCCTACCAGTAACGCACTTCCTGAGTCACAAAGCTTACTGTATCTATGGAGGAGTAGAGTTGTCACCCAAGGACTAAAGAATACCTCCCCCACTCCTCCTCACCATAACCGAAGGAATAGGGTTTTGTAGTCCTCAGAGATCGCTAGGAACAATATAACTGATAAAGAGTCCAGAGCACAAGATTTCTGGCAAAATCAAAAGGGCTTTTTTCTTGCACTTATCAAACTGATGTAACAAAACACTTTCAATGGCATATTTAACAGACCAGAAGGGGGCCATTAAGAGAATTTCTTTGTTAGTGCTTATATCCATTTTAATACAAATATGCAAAGAACATGGACTTAGAATTGCAGTGTAATAACTAACCACGGCTTACATAGGATCATAGTGCATTCAGTATTTGAGAATCCTTCTAGGGTCAAGGTGTATTAACTGTAAGTCCTGGAATATTGGTGTATTAATGAAATGGCAGTCCAGTGAGAACTACTAGGCATTGTTAATTGCTTATTTATGAATGATGATATATGAGATGTATAAATTAGAGTACCACTTGGATCACGGGCATTCAATAATGGTCTGTCCTTCCTGGCATCATAGTCAATATTGGTAAGCCTTCTATGATCAAGGTGTACCAAAGTTTACCTGTAGTGTTGAAGAAATACTGTAAATAGGAAAATTATTAAAAGGTGTGTGTATGTGTATATATATATATATAGATATATATCTATATATATAATTATAGTTTTAGTGATTTATTATCAATTATAAAAAGTGAGTGAATCTTCACTTCTGTACATACAGCAGTTGTAAAGGTGATAGCTTTTAGAGGAACTTGGTGTCTCATTGTGATGTTCTGAAATGATGAATGATAGCTGAAACCAACATACTAGATTCTACCAAACCCATACCAATCAAACTAATGTACTAGCTTAGACAATATGGTTGCACAGTGGAAGTGGAATTGGCTCATTAAGGGTTCCATTGCTGAGCCATTCTTCTGAAATTGTCTTATGCACTTTGATTTGGTAATGTGGAACAAGCATACAGATAAACAGCTCTGACTTTACTCTGAAGCTGGACTGACTGAGCCTGAGGCAGCGGTTCCCTCAATAGAAGGTTGTCCAGATGCCCCACTATGAGGATAGCCTGAGAGCAAAGCAGAGCAAGCGCAGAGGCTAGCACCTTGGTGAAGTGCAAAAGATAGCAAATGCTGCATGTTCACAACAAAACACAGAAAGCATTGATGCTCTGGAAAGATGGGAACATGCAAGTAGGCATCTACAGTAGATGTCCACAGAAACCAGAAACTCCCCAAGGTAGAGGGAAGCAATAACTGAAGGAAGGTTTTGAGAACCTTTAGGTCTAGAATGGAGATAATGCCCCCTTACACTCACTGTAAATAGGTTGATTTTCATACTTGTCCCAGGTTAGAGACTGAGAATGTATTGAAGCCAGAGACTCTTCAGAACAGCCATACAACTAGTATTTTCAATAGGAGGTTAACAACGGCAGCTTCCATGACAAACGTTGCATCAGACATGATAGCATAAAAGGACTCCTATTAATAGTTGTCTCATGCTGCTAATACTGTATGTGCTGGGAAAGGTTTAAACTCGAAATGACAGAAAATTTACATTTGACAAGCAGAGTTTTGCTTTTCCGCCAGTTATGTACACAGACACGCACATGGCCCTCGGCAATAGTTGTGTAATGTAATAAACAGCTCTTCCTAGTTAAAGCCAATGAACAGCAAAGAGTAAAATCGAGCATTAATGCAGCAAGTATGTAACAATAGGAGGAAGGGGAACTCCAGACAGACCTTAAAGAAGTTCTTCCTACAAATGTTTAGTTTGATCCGTATTACCATCGATGCAGCTTGTGTTCCCTCCATGTGCAACCCTGAGACAGACTACACCCTTGTGACCTATCCCTGCGCAACCCTGAGACAGACTAGACCCTTGTAACCTATCCCTGCGCAACCCTGAGACAGACTAGACCCTTGTGCCCTATCCCTGTGCAACCCCGAGACAGACTACACCCTTGTGCCCCCTCTCCCTGTGCAACCTTGACACAGACTAGACCCTTGTGATCTATCCCTGTGCAACCCTGAGACAGACTAGACCCTTGAGCCCCCTCTCTGTGCAACCTTGACACAGACAAAACCCTTCTGCCCCTCCCAGTGCAACCTTGACATAGAATAGACCCTTGTGCCCCCTCCCTGCGCAACCCTGAGATAGACTAGACCCTTGTGCCCCCTCCCTGCGCAACCCTGAGACAGACTAGACCCTTGTGCCTCCTCCCTGCGCAACCTTGACATAGGATAGGCCCTTGTGCCTCCTCCCTGCGCAACCTTGACATAGGATAGGCCCTTGTGCCTCCTCCCTGCGCAACCTTGACATAGGATAGGCCCTTGTGCCTCCTCCCTGCGCAACCTTGACATAGGATAGGCCCTTGTGCCTCCTCCCTGCGCAACCTTGACATAGGATAGGCCCTTGTGCCTCCTCCCTGCGCAACCTTGACATAGGATAGGCCCTTGTGCCTCCTCCCTGCGCAACCTTGACATAGGATAGGCCCTTGTGCCTCCTCCCTGCGCAACCTTGACATAGGATAGGCCCTTGTGCCTCCTCCCTGCGCAACCTTGACATAGGATAGGCCCTTGTGCCTCCTCCCTGCGCAACCTTGACATAGGATAGGCCCTTGTGCCTCCTCCCTGCGCAACCCTGAGACAGACTAGACCCTTGTGCCCCCTCCCTGTGCAACCTTGACACAGAATAGACCCTTGTGCCCCCTCCCTGTGCAACCTTGACACAGACCAGACCCTTTTGCCCCCTTTCCTATGCAGCCTCCCAGTTTAAAGGGGCTGTTTAGAGACAGACTAGTTCAGGGGTAACCACACTTCAGCCCTCCAGTTGTGGTACTAATGCAAATCCCAATTGCAGACAAAGACATGACTCCCAGAGGCAGATGCACGATAGGATTTGTAGCTGCACCACAGCTTGATGGCTGGAGTCTGCCTGCCCCTGGACTAGACCCTTGTGCCAGATGGTAAGCTTGTGTCCACCATTTTGCACTCTGTCCAACCGTAAGATACATCTTAGAAAAAGCAAGAACTGAAGAGCTGCTAGTGCTGTGGCTGGGCATGCTCTGAAATCGGGAGGCAGCCTAATAATGTAACTGGAAATTAGAATGTAGGCAATAGTAGTGAGGAGAGGGAACATGCAAAAACCCTTCAGGGATTAGATCATTTAGTGGTGCGGGAAGAAATATTTGCTATATCAAGCAAAGATGCATAATGTTAATTTAATATACTTGGTATATGTGTATCTGTTTGTATAAAAGTCATGGAAAGAACTGTTACACTTAACACTCTCCAGTCAATCTTAAATTCATGGTGAATGTTGGAAATGTTTTGCAGTGCTAAGAAAGTAGATCGTGAGCATGCTTCGAGCCAATAATCAGGATGTGTAAACCTTGATGAATATTTAGAATTGCCTTGAGGACAGCAACTTAATATGGCAAAATGCAAAGAACTCACTGCTTTATGCCATAGAAACCATTTAAAGATCAGCTTTTATAAGTTCATCGTAACAAAAATAGAAATGTAGAAAAAAAACCCTCATATGTGGCTAGCTTCAGCAAGCACATTTCTGAATACTCACTGTACCATCAAAAACTTCCATATATATATATATTTCCTGGCTCACCTCATGTCGGCATAGCTGTGTCCCATTAGTGTGCCGACATGTCTTAATGCTGATTTTCTATTTTTGTTCCTCAGGTGAAAATCTGGTTCCAGAATCGCAGGTCAAAGTTCAAGAAACTTTATAAAAACGGTGAAGGCCCGAGTTTGGAACACAGTCCTAATAACAGCGACTTCATGGCTTGCAATTCACCGTCCTCCCCGCCTAACTGGGAAAGCAGCCGAAGCCGAACTCCCCAGCAGCAAAGTCTTCCTAACTGCTCACCCCCCACCTATCTTGAGAACTATAACCAATGGTTTAACCAACAGAACCAACCAGGACCACATCTACAGCCTCCTGATGCCTTGCACCAACCGCCTCCTAATCCTGTGTATTAAGTGATAGAGACGCTAAAGATAACTTGAATGAGTTATTGGAAAGAAAAAGCCCACATCACCCTCGTTGAAGGGATTCCACAGACTTTATTTGGGCAAAAAAAAGACTCTTAATATTTAAGTGGCATTGATATAAAGCACCAGTTGTGGGACTGTTGTAAATACTTTTTGAAGGATCAGTATCCACCCAATAAAACCCAATTTAGCTCCTCTACAAAAAGCCATGCTGGTAGAAGTTAAATCGAATGACCTAATTATGGATATCAAGGGCAGATTGCACCAAATTCTCCACTGCTACATAGCTTGCTGGACCAGTTTTTTTCCAAGATCATTACCGACACGTCATCATCAAGCCCGTAATTTCATCAACACAAGCCATGTCTCCACGCAGTCAAGTTATTGGTCATCAGCAATTATCTTCTTTGGAGAACTTTTTGTTAAAGATTTACTAGATCCTACACAGCGCATTCGACATACAATGTGACTGTACTATGCTATTTTAGGTTCTACTCCAAAGACTTCAAACTCTGTCCTAAATCCAACCAATGTCAACATTTTCTACCATTATGATTCTTTTGGGGGGAGGGCTTTGTCAAAGCAAATAACTTTTATGTTGAATTAAAGAAAGGAGTGATCTTTTTTTAAAAATATATATTTTGTCAACCTTTTAGGATTTGAGCTACTCCACTTGTCTTTGCAATATTTAAAGAAATTGCGCAGGGGGTTCTAACTTATTTTTGTAATATGTTTTGGATTGTGAGGGGTGAGAATAATTTTTCAGATTAAGGGGAGGGGGGATCTGAGGAATGTCATTGTGTGAATGCAAAATTAAAATATTGTGTTTTGCTGCTGAAGCAAATAATTTGGAAATTTGTGGTTTGGTTTATTTGATGGTATTGTCTACAGCGCGAAGGTGTAAAAGTTGAGGTTGGATAGGTGTACACTTGGCCCAACAGATGCTAATAGGTAAACCCACCCAAAGTAGGACAATACATTGGGTTTTTCAACACCTTTGAGAATGTATATATATTTATCTAGGAGATCTGCCCCACAGATCTGGCAAGGACCTTATATAGGTTTGGAATCCAGAAAGGTCCTTGCCAGATCTCTGGGGAAGATCTCCTTGACCCTCGAGAATTGTAAGAAAATGGTGCACAGCTGAGCCCGCTAACGTTAACTCCTAAATAACAGGGTTATTCACAAAAGTGTGAAGAGTTTGGAGAAGTGAACAATCTAGGCCAAAATAATCTCTAATTCAGCTCACTTTCCGGTTCAGCCATTTTGTCCTAGATTGTTCACTTCTCCAAACTCTTCACCCTTTTGTAAATAACCCTGTAAATAATTCTTTATTAGTGACTTACACTTTGGTGAACAACTTTGTTAAATGTAAGGAGAATGGCTACACAATGTACGTCAAAGTTAAAGCCGAACTGAAATCTCAGTTTGAATTTGGCTACAAACATTCCAGGTGCATTAAAACAGATGTGCCACATCCCGAACTGCTTCCACACAGAGAGCCAGAGTCCTTCACTACAGCATGCTGGCAGGGGACAGGCTTTTCTGGCGTTGAGACAGAATATAAAGAAAAGATGTCCACAACAGGGCTACACAGCAATAAAAATCTGCCATAGATCATAATCCTAAATTCCGGCTGTTTGCAATGTTTTTGTGCTTTTAACTAAGCTTTTCTCCCTTTTGTTATTTATCCGACTCCATACCGCTGATAGCTTCCTCTCTAATTATTTGGTGGAAGAACATTTATGCTCCAGATATATGGCTTACACCAGCATAATAAAAAACTCACAAAAGATTAGGGAAGGGTTATAACCTATCAGGTTTTTCTTGCTGTCTGGGTCCCTGTTGGCTAGATTCTTCCTCAGCTTTTGACCTGGTTACAACTCAGGAAGTGAAGGGTAATCCCACAACCAGGACCTAAACAGCAAGGAAAACCTAATAAAAGCCTGCCCTGTCCCTACTGAGAAATCTCCCCAATAGGGTCACAGACAGCCATAGGAAACTAGGAAGGTGTAGGTGCATGGCACTGTATCCAAATACAGATTTATTACAATGCACAAGATAAAATCTAATAGATGTTTATGCAGCTCTCGTACACGAGGGGGCCTCAAATAGTGAAATCCAGAACCACCTCCGACACATTCCTATTGCCCAGTGAGCAGTCCATCGTAGTGATAGAAGTGTCTTAAAGAGTCATTGTAAGCCACGGGTAGGCAACCTCGGCACTCCAGCTGTGGTGTAACTACAAATCCCATGAGGCATTGGAAGAGTGACAGCCACAGGCATGACTCCCAGGAGGCACAGACGTTTGTAGTTTTACCACAGCTGGAGTGCCAAGGTTGCCTACCTCTGCCTGTAAGTGCTTTTAGGGATTTCACCAGGCTGTTCTAATTGAGCAAAGCTCCCTCATTTTTTGATTGCGTCAATGCTAGCCTGCCACCTCCTACACATTCATTTGGCCAATGCCCATCATAGTGACATAGTGACAATGCCCATCATAGTGACATGAAGAAGTGTCTAAAGACATTTTAAAGCATGGGAAGATTCTGTACACCATTATAATGGCCATGGCACGAGGACAGAGGCGGGTACGGCAGAGATATCTCCAAAAAGGTCACAAAGGGTTACCAGAAACCAGTTATTAATTCAACTTGAGGCATTAGTGTGATGTTGATGGATTCTATTACACCCATATATATTCAACGGCAGATGGGAACCTCCAACATTTTTATCTGTAATATGGATCAATATAGTGTGGGCTGACAGGTTCACTTTAAAGCTGAACTGCAGGCAAGTGGCTACAAAGTTCAAATACATATTTGACAACTGTTTTACCCATCAAAGGTTTTATAATTCTGTGAAGCCGTTCTTATGACCCAGACACAGCTGCCAAAGCAGCAGGACCATGTCCTTAACTTAAGCAGCAACCTAGCTTGGTCATGGCCTCCCAGTCTGCTGACTGAACAGTGAGAGAGAAACGGCACACTGGTAAAGTCATCTCTCTGTTCATTCCGTTCTCTCCTCTACTCTCTGCAGCAAAGCCCTTTGACTCCTATTGCTCACCCTCAATTTCCTGGGCTAAGTGCTGGTGGTGGAGGATTACAGGAGGCTGGTAGTAAAACATGTTCAAGTACCTACCTCCCCTTTAAGTGAAGTGCATATCTACAGCTTAGAATAGGACGTACAGTATACTTCACTTGGAAGTAAGTCTGATCCCATTTGAGTTGCATCAAGGGAGGCTAATATACATGTTTTTGGGTGTGCCCTAGAACTGAGCAAAGTACAGGATGGTTGTGTATATTACAGAACAGGTTAGGTTAGAGACAAGTTGGACCCAGTTCCAGTATTGCTAGCTAACAGTAAACCACTAGAGACAAGTCATTACATTTGTTCTCCTGTAGTAAGAACTTTTCGGGGCTCACAGAATGTTCCTTAGAGTGTGTGCCTCCTAAACTTCTAAGACTTCTTGACTTATTCTTTTATATGTTTATGAGAAAATATGAAATGTATTGAACAGTTAAAAAGAACCTGTCGCCATGCCAATCATTTCAACAAAATTCTTCCCATAATATTATATGGCCATAGAACCTATTATAGGCATGTTATGTACCGGGAGAAGCCTCCCTTGTGTAGACCTCCAAAAGCCCTAAGACTGCTACTGAGTGCTGCCATCTTGGAACCATCACTCGAGTAATGCACTATAGTGCTCCTAACAACCGACAACTGCATAGAAGTTTATGTAGGGAGGTGAAGAGATGGGCAGAGAAGATGGGTCAGCACAAACAGTAATTAGACATTCCTAAATGAAGAGACGGCTGTGATATGTAAACGTGGAAAGGACTTTTCTAGGGGACTGAGTCGTCTTGGAATAGTCAAGTATATAGCAACTAAACAAAACTTATTGAAAAGAAAAACACAGCAAGAATTTAAAATGTAATTTTTATGTGCTTTAACCTGCAATTTTTATGTCGGTGACAGAGCCTCTTTAAAGTATAACTCCACTTTTATGGAGTATAAAATTAATCCCTCTTGAGTGATCAATGTACATTGGAAGGATTTAACAAACTTTGCTGTAGATTTCGACTTGTCCTTTCCAGACTGATCCCTGCTGGCTATTGCACCTGCCCTCTGCTGCTGTCAATCACTAGAAGAGGACCTGATGGAGAACTTCAGGTCCCCCACTGCTGATTGACAGCAGCAGTGGGCGGGTGCAATAGCTAATTTGCTATTGGCTATTGTAAAGTAAAATAGCCAATAGCAATCCAGCTATTAATTCCTATGTCGGGAGAGAAACCTTTCCGGGAGAAAGTGTTTCTCTCCTGAGCGGCAGGGAGAGTGGGGATGTCTTTAGGCGACCCCTGGCAAATCGTCATTCAACCCCCGACGGGGTCGCGACCAACAGGTTGAGAACCGCTGCTTTAGAAGTTAACCCTTCGGGAGTATCTAAAAATTAAAATGAAATGAAATCTCTATTCTAGGGGATGAGTAAAATGTTACTTGCATCTGAGTTAGAATTCCAATCCAAAGGAAGGTTTTACATGAGATATAATGTAGATGCAAGTCACTATTCCATTTTTCAAAGCCCTGGTGAAGGGGGGATTTGTTGCCCCCGTAAATGCACTGTCTGCTTTTATGTGAGCCGCTGATGGATGATTAAAGGCACTTGGGACTCTTTAACATTTTGGTTTGTCACCTATTTGTATGTCTATACTATTTTCAAGGTGGCTGCCTAGGTGGGAATGGATGATATATTAGATAGATATAGGGCCATCCCTATAATGGGGTAGCCTGAGTATGTTGTCTCAAGGGGCATCTATTTGGGTCACGTGGGAGGACGGCAGGCTCTTCCTGGCCAGAGCATCCCAGGTTGCTAAGAGCTGGGTGAGAACATGTTTAAAGACCATACACATCTCCCCTCCCAGCTCTTAGAGACAGAGATTTATAATCGTTGTACAAACTTGTAATTCAGGATGGGCTGGCAGTCCATTGCATCAGCACAACCTGTAGTCCACTATTGGAAGGTACATTTAAGGTGACAACTCTTCTGCGTGCAGTGAATAAAAAGGCAGCATTGCCACTCCTAGA